GAGATTTCTAGCATTAAAATATTAAGGAGAGGAAACTAATTTAAATATTGCTTTAATCAAGGTCTTTCTTGATTAAAGGGTCAATTAGCTGAGCAGGTTAAAGGCTAATGACCAAGCCAAATTTCTAGTCCTACACACAAGTCAGTTAAATGTTGACAAGAGAAAAGGGAGGTATGGAACATGCAGCAACAGTGGGCGCCATGAGGGTAAGTAAGAGTGGCAGCAGAGAGAAACGACCACAGAAAGAGAGACAGGAATATAAGTTATTGAAACGTAAGGTGAGAAAATCTGTCCTGCACCCACCTTTACTCCTTATCAGTGCTACGAAACCTAGGGGGAAACACTGCTTCCAGAAGCAAAGGTGTGTCCACATGAAGATTTACCTGTATCAAATATGTCAAGCAGATTGACCAAAGTTTCAAATGCTGCAAGCCTCACACTGCAGCCTTCATCCCTGGAGAGTTCTATTAATTCAGGGAGCACCACACTTTTTGTAAGGTCTGTCCTGCACAATAAGCAATGGAAGAAAATAAATCAAATCAATAAATTTATAGCAAGAACTTATTAAAAACAAGTCACGGGGCTAGATGTTATAGGAAACTGGAAAAAATCATAAGACATGGCTCATGCTCTCTAGAAACTTGCAGGCTGGTTGGAAAAGCTTGATATAACATAAATATTAATATTAACTGCAAAATTATTTAAATCGGGGTATATGCAGGAGGCAACCAATCGATGTGTCTCTCTCACTTTGATGTTTCTCTCTGTCTTTTCCCTTCCCTTCCACTCTCTCTAAAAATCAATGAAAAAATATCCATGAATGAGGATTAACAAAAACAAAAAAAAGAAAGAAAGAAATGCTACTATTATTCTGCTGTCTTGGCCAACCATAAAATGCAGGATCTTCTTTATCAGTATTTAATCTGGAGCAGACAGCTAACCATCAGATGACAACAGATCATGGCCAGCACTGCAGTAGATTGGACCACACAGCCTGACCCTAGAATTCCTGGTTGGCCATGTGGACAAGCTCACCTATTTATTCCATTCATCTTGTTATCCCTGACCCTGTATCTTATTCCCTTATGACCTCTTGGTGGGTTAGGTTGTCACGACTAGCACCTAAGCTAATAAAACTGGACTTCTACAAAAATAACAGGATCAGGCTGTCCTCAGACTTCTGTTCCATATACTTAAATAACAGAAGAGTTTTTAGTAAAAAGGATTATAATCTAGAATTCTGCCCAAGCCAGGGTGGAACTTACATGTGAAGGCAAGAGAAAAATATTCTCATAAATAAACTACCTTGTGCAATATACAACCCACACCTACTTCCTGAAAAAAATTACTGCAGTTTGCTAAGAGGAAGTAAAGCAGGGAAATGGTTGCATCCTGTATGTATAGGTCTACCATGATGCCTTATTTCCCTCGACTTTTCGAATGTGACAGATGGGCAAAGAAAATGACCATCTACTTCAAAATACAAGTAGCTCCTAACCAAATATTCAACCTCATTGTTTAACACCATTAGCTGTCAGAGAATGAATGAATACACGTGAGCAACTGCCGTAAGTAAGCACTGAATTACATATGGGTGAGGTAACAATAAAAAAAGGTATAATCCTGTCTTCCAGGTGCTTCAAGTTTAGAAGGAAATATAGTCACATAGACAGACAGTTATTGAATAATATCTTTGCAAAATGATAGTGAAATACTACTTCTGCCAATGAAATTGGAAAAGTTCATGATAAACCTGAATTATTGGTAAAGTTGCATGTACTACTGGAAGAAACATAGACTCAGTCTTTTTGAGTTCTACAATATACATTAAAAATTTGCTTATCTTTTACCTATTTTATTCCAATTTTAGAGAGTCTAAGGAATTAGTTGTTTATATTAAAACTAGAGGCCCGATGCACGAAATTCGTGCAAGAGTAGGCCTTCCTTTCCCCAGCTGCTGACACCGGCTTTACTCTGGTACCCAGGACCCAGGCTTCCCTCTGGCTGCCACGCGGGCTTCCCTCACAGAGGGAGGCCCCACCCACCCGCCGTAGTCTGCCAGTTAGTGGCCTGGACCTCCCTTTGGGGCAATCGTGGAGCCCCCCGATTGATCGCCCCACCAGCTGGTGGCCTGGGCCTCCCTCTGTGGGGCGATCATGGGGCAATGGCCAGGCCCCCGACCAATCACATCGCACCCGCCTTGGCTGGCCTGGCGCCAGTTGGTGTCATAACATGGTCATTTAGATGGTCGTTCCGCTGTTCAGCCATTCGGCCGATTTGCATATTATGCTTTTATTATATAGGACTAGTGGCCTGGTGCACAAAATTCATGCACAGGGGAGGGGGTCCCTCAGCCCAGCCTGTACCCTCTCCAATTGGGGACCCCTTGGGGGATGTCCGACCGTAATCTGGGACCACTGGCTTCTAACCACTCACCTGCCTGCCTGCCTGATCGCCCCTAACTGCCCTCCCCTGCCGGCCTGATCTTGCCCCCAATTGCCCTCCCCTGCCAGCCTGATCTCGCCCCCAACTGCCCTCTCACGCCAGCCTGATTGCCCCTAACCCCCTGCCAGCCTGATCTCACCACCAACTGCCCTCCCCTGCCAGCCTGATCACTCCTAACTGCCTCTGCCTTGGCCCCCACCACCATGGCTTTGTCCGGAAGGAAGTCAGACATTCGGAAGATGTCCAGTCAACCTGGTCCAATTAGCATATTACCCTTTTATTAGTATAGCTAGATTATATAGGATAGGATTGCTTAAATGGGGGGAAAGCCTTTTTCATCAGGAGATGCTCTTGGCAGACAAAAACACATAATCCCTATATCTGGATTGATAGCCAGCCATGTGCACTATACTGCCAAAGTGGTCATTAAAAAATTGAACCACTTTCTTACACCTTACACCAAATAGCTATTGCCCATAAAACCCCTCCTCAGCCCCGACCTTAGGTTCTGCCTTCGCAGGTGACCCAGATTAGGTTCTGATTGGTCAGTTTCTATGCCAGTCAGCATCAAAAGCTCTGCCTCCTAGGCAGCCATTGGCTCCTCGCACTTCACTCAGAGTTGGTTCTGACTGGTCGGTTTCTATGCTAGTCAGTGTCAAAAGCTCCGCCTCCTAGGCAGCTATTGGCTCCTGGCACTTCACCTAGATTTGGTTCTGATTGGTCGGTTTCTAGACCAGTCAGCATCAAAAGCTCTGCCTCCTAGACAGCCATTGGCTCCTGGCACTTCATGCAGATTTGGTTCTGATTGGTCAGTTTCTCCAGGCCTATCTCTGGGCCTGATCAAAGAGGCAGGGCTGATCAGCAGTTCCTCCCACCCCCCGGAGACCCAGAGAGAAACAGGCATGGCTGCTGGCGAACCCGAAGAGAAAGAGAAAGGCAACGGCTGATCAACAGCTGCCACAGAGGCTGCAGATCAGACCCTGCCTCTCTCTCTGCAGGCCTCTCTCCAGGCCTGATCTGCAGGCCCCTTGGCAGTCAGTGCTGGTTCACTGAACTGCACTGGCTACAGTCAGTGCTGGGTTACTGTGGTGACCCAGCACTGGCTTCCGGTGTTCAGTTGAGCCTTGGTTGTTGCGGATGTTATGGATCCTGGCCCTTTATATATATAGATTATATCTATAGATGTATGAGATGATAATAGAAGTAAACACTTAGCTAATGTTTACAAGGTGTCAGGCACTACTCTAAGCACTTTAGGATAAGCTAGGTAGATTCTTTCTAGTTTTACTTTTATAAACTAATCTTTAAACAATAATCCTAAATTAATTTATAGAACACAAATTTGAGCACACAATGACCTGCCCAATTTTAACAGTGGCAAAATACCAGGTGACAAAAAGATAGAATATAAAAAACAACAGTGTGTTCTCCTAACAGGTTTAAATACTGGTTAAAGAACACAGATCTAGGCAAGACAATTAATTATGGCCGCAGTGATCCAGAGCCAACCTAGACTTAGAAGACCTATCACCAAAAGTTGCTTCTGAGATCAAAATTAGGGAAATGATTTTTCATAAATACAACTGCACACATAGTTTATATTAGAACATTTTCCCTCCCTAGATTGAGGCATTTGGAATGATAACTAAGTAACTTAAGGTGAGAAGGAAAGAGATTAACATTAATTGAATGCCTACCCACATTGCTAAGCATTTTCACTTTTATTTCTTTTAATCCAGACACATCAAGAGGTACTTGTTATTATAACCTTTTTTTTTACGAGTCCTTTGTTTGATCTCTTACCCCCCTACCTCCTGCCCCCCAACCCTCCCCGGCCTTCCCGCTGCAGTTTGACAATCTGTTTCAGGCAGTTCTGCCTCTGTATCTATTATTGTTCAAAAGTTAACCATTCTTAAAGATAATATAAAGTTTAGCCTTTCATTAACATGCTTCCATGGAAAACAGAACAAGGATATGCAAGCTTGACTATCCAGAAATAAGAATATGACATAAGAAATTGAAAGTATACTTACCCAATGCCCTGAGCTATATTTTCTAATTGCCGACACATGCAAGATCGAACTTCATATTCTACATCTTGACAGAGTGATTTTACCAAAGGAAGTATTTCTCTTTTAATGCTTAGAGGAGAAGAAAGAAACATGTAAATGGGTGAGTGTTTTGGAATAATTAATATTTTCAAACAATGATCATCAAAATCTTAGCTTAATAATAACAAATATACTTTAATATAAAGCTTTACAGTTTCCAATGTATTTTTACATAAGTGATTACATTTGGATGTTATCAGTAACTGTAAATTATGTATATGACTGTTTTTAAAATAATGGTTAACTTTGGATTGGCAGTTAAACATTTAGCTAAGATAAAAAAGGCTGCAGGCAAGTAGAATATCTGATTCTACCAAACCATCAACCAAAATGTTCTGCAATTTTATATTTTAACTTTTGTCATAATTACACTCCATTCCATCTTTCCATTTGGGATTTATCATTTGGGCAGAAAGTAGCATACAAATTATAAACCTATAAAACCTCAAATAAGATGCATTGTTCAAAATAATGAATTTGTAACATAATAATGGAAGAAAGCAGAAAGCCTGTTCTTATGTCATGTTTATCAATTTTTGAAGTCTATATAATAATGCCATTTTATCCTCAAAACTACACTAAATATGTGACAGGGTAGATTAAGATGAAAAATAGAAGCAACAGTAACCTTATTTTTTAAATATATTTTTATTGGTTTCAGAGAGGAAAGGAAAGGGAGAGATAGAAACATCAATGATGAGAGAGAATCATTGATCAGCTGCCTCCTGCACGCCCCCTACTGGAGATTGAGCCCAAAACCCAGGCATGTGCCCTGACCAGGAATTGAACCATGACCTCCTGGTTCATAGGTCCATGCTCAACCACTAAGCCACACCAGCCGGGCAAAAGTTAATCTTATTGATTTTGAAAAGAGATGAGATCAAGAAGAAATGCATCTGAACAAGTAGACTTCTGAGAATTATATAAAGTTAAAACAGCTAAATTTGTTTGCAATATGGAGTAATACAAATCTATTGTTAGTCACTCAGTTATTATTCATTTTTAATCAATTTAATTTTATAAAGTAGACAAAAAGTTAATACGAATACTCACGTATGGGCATCAAATTTGTTGGTCAATTTTCCTAAAATTTTACAACTAACTAAACGAGACTGGACAGTTTGGGAAAGTTGTGCCTTGGAAACAAGTGGATTCAAAATCTGGAGAGAAAGATTTAGAGAACAAATTCACAAAGTTTTATATATTCTTGACACTAATGTCAGCTATTTTCTTCAAAGAATAGTTTTATGTTCTCAATGTTTTTAAAGAATCTGAATTACAATATGAAATGCAGAAATTATGGATATTCATAACCTATATCACCTTGTTTGTCTTCTGAGATATATATATATATATATATATATGATAAAGATGATGATAAATTATGTAACTAAAAACAATTATGCACAAAGAAGATTGCATTAAAGCTTATGATGAATTCTGCAATGGTCTGTAAGCACCTAAGTATAATTGGGAAATATATTCAAAAAAAAAAGCAAATTATTAGTCATCTACCCTTAAATAGATTTTCATCTTTATTCTGAAGTAATCCAAAACATAAATTATAGGTTCAACTAGATTCTATTAAGTAATTCTATCATTTGAATACAACAACCCAAGTCTGACAGTGTACATGTATGTGTATGTGTATGTGTATGTGTATATGTATATGTATATGTATATGTATGGCACTCAAAAAATCAACAGCAAGATAGATTGTGAAGAACTATCACAATCAGATCCTGACTCTGGTCCCAGCTCTTTAACTTGTCCAAGTCAGCATACTATTTCTCATCTACTTAAAATGGAAATCAGAATATGTCATATGAAGATTCCTCCAAGTTCTAAAATTCTATGACTCTAATAAACTGGCTTTATTCCTCTCAACAAAGTAGCCAGAATTACTGAGCACATAATGATAAATATAACTTAAAAGTGAAACATTTCAAATAAAGTAAAACACATATTTAAAATATTTAAAATCACGTTAGCCGAAACCGGTTTGGCTCAGGGGATAGAGCGTCGGCCTGCGGACTGAAAGGTCCCAGGTTCGATTCCAGTCAAGGGCATGTACCTGAGTTGCAGGCACATCCCCAGTGGGAGATGCGCAGGAGGCAGCTGATCGATGTTTCTCTCTCATCGATGTTTCTAACTCTCTATCTCTCTCCCTTCCTCTCTGTAAAAAATCAATGAAATATATAAAAATAAATAAATAAATAAAATCACGTTAAATAACAGATGGCATTCTAGAGTAAAAACTGCATTCTACCACATTCCGCTCTTCAAAAAATATATAAATAATGCACATCAACATTACATTGAACATTTAAATAGGTGTCATCATCTAGATTTTCGGCATCAAGCATACAAGCATCCTTATAAATGGGTAAATCTTCCCATTTTCAAGCAAGTGTTTTGTCCTCGAGAAAGGACAATAAACTGTATGAGGGCAAAGGATGAAGACACTTCATAAAACCCAGAGAGGACATTTTACTGACAGATTACTGGGTTTTTTCAACAATGACATATTTGAAAAGAAAAAGACATAGGATAATGTTCTCAGGATGAAAAACCTTTCATTACAGAAAAAAATTCCCTTCTAATTTTCTTACTCTCTCATCTTAATTTAATAAAGCTTTTAGAGGATGTGTTGAACAATATCGAAAATTAAAAAGCAAATAACAAATTGGTAACAATATTGACAATAAACATAACAAAAGACTAGCAACTTTGATAGATAAACAGCACATACAAATAGTAATTAATGATACTCTTTGACAATTCCAAAAGAATAATTAAAAGTGACATAATATATGAGAAATATATAAAATAGACTAATTTTTAAAATTCTGATTAAAATATAATGCCATTTTTGGCCCATCAAATTAAATTGCAACACTATTGCTGATAAAAGTCCAGGGAGACAGGCATTTTCACATGCTGCTAATCAAGACGCTGAAGAATATTAATTAATGCTCTCTGACCTAGTAATTTCACTTTTTTGAAAGCTATAGCTAAATCATCTGAAAAACAGGAAAAGCTCTATAGAAATGTTCATTACTGCCTTATTTTGATAATAAAATACTGAAACTAGGCTTAAATGTCTAACAAGTAAGTAAAATGTTTTGTAGGTACTGCCAAATGAGTTTAAAATAACAGGAAAATAATGCTAAGTGAAAACCAAATTAATGCTAAATGATCACTAATATGGCCAACAACCATACTAGTACATAAGGGGGAAATCTGCAATGAAAATATATCAGAATGTTAAAAGTGGCTAAGTACAAAACCATGATTTTTCTCCTTACTAATTTCTGTACTACTCAAATTTTCTATAATTACCATGTTTTGCTTTCAGAGTGGGAAATAACTTTATTCTTTCTTTTAAATACCATTTTTTCAAAAAGACAAACTGTGGAGTGACTTATTAGCATTTCCTCCCCCACACGCACCAAAAGAAAAGAATTACCTCATGCCTTAGGGTTTCTGTGGGCAACACTTCCACCACAGACAGAAGAGTTTCCAGCCATGCATTGCTGACGCCTGATTGGCACAGATAAAACATGGAAATGTAATCTCACAAGTCTAGTTTCAACTCAGCCATTATTTGCTACAATATTGCTTAATGATAAAATGGAATAATAATTATTACCATTGAAAGAAGTTTCTATAGTTTTATTTTAGCCAATATCTAGAAAACAAACATTTATATCTTTAAAAATAATATTGGGGAGCCCTAGCTGGTTTGGTTCAGTGGATGGAGTGTCAGCCTGCGGACTGAACGGTCCCAGGTTCAATCCCAGTTAAGGGCACATGCCCAGGCTGTGGGCTCAGTCCCCGGGGGGGGGCGGGGGGGGGCCTGTAGGAGGCAGCCAAAATGATTCTCTCTCCTCACTGATGTTTCTATCTCTCTCTCCCTCTCCCTTCCTCTCTGAAATCAATAAAAATATATTTTAAAAATAATAATATTGGGGAGCTATCTTTACCCCAAATTGTGCATTTTTGCTATACAGTTATATTATAAACACAAATGCTGTAAACCTTCAAAAACTCTAAGAAGAAAGTGTAAATCGTAAGATGAACTAATGGGTCTTCAGCTTTCAAGGATACTGAATTTTGTGGGTTTTGTAAGGAAACAGTCAGGGCTATTTTTAGTCACACTAATGACCAACTCTTGGACAGCATGACCCCACTCAGCTGTCCTCATGAGGCTAACAAGATTCCAAGATCATCATGACCACATGAGTTTAAAATAACACAGGAAAATAATGCTAAGTGAAAACCAAACTAACGCTAAATGATCACTTAGAGCAATAAATAACTAACGAAAGAAGCGTGCCAGGATCCTGACCTGCATCCCTGTGCTCCAGATGCAGTAGAATGATTTGGAGGAAGGAGTGAGCATACGTATGAATTGACACTGATTCTTCATGTAGAATGGTCAAAAATGATACTGCAGCTGTTAACTGCATTTCCACACCTGCAACATGCAGGACTTCCTGTAGAATCAGAAAGAGTTTGCTATTAAATAAGTGAGAAAGCATAAATTATAAGTTTTAAAATTCCAAGGTCATAGAAACATCGCCACATTCCACAAATAACTGTATACGACTTCCAAGAATATGTATGGCCTGGCCAGCATGGCTCAGTGGTTGAGCTCGACCTATGAACCAGGAGGTCACAACTGGATTCCCGTTTGAGGATGTGGCCGGGCTGCGGGCTCAATCCCCAGTGTGGGGTATGCAGATTGCAGCTAATCAATGATTCTCTCTCATCATGGATGTTTCTACCTTTCTCTCCCTCTCCCTTCCTCTCTGAAATCAATAAAAATATATTTTAAAAATATATGTATGCTTGCTTTATTTAAGAAAACTATACTAATCTACTCCTGATCACTTAAGTCATTAGATCACATAAAGTTTAAATGCCTTAGGAATTAATAAAATAAACATTCCATTGCTTTACGAATGAAAATTATAGAAGTACATAAACCTTTAAATAGTAAAATAGGCATTTTTGATAGATTTCAACTTCTATTTTGCTATCTGTATTGTACAGTTTGCCATCATTTCTAGAACAATAATATCAAAGCTCAGACAATCACATGTGTTTTCATTACTTGAACTTCTGGTTCAAAAAATAAACATACATTTGACTCTAAAAAAAGAAATGCATTTAAGATTTGAAAATGCATTTTCCCCTTTAAAGAACTGACAGGAACATAAATTATCATAAAGTAAACTGCTATTAAAAGAAAAAAATTTATATATAAGAATGTTTTTTAGAAATTACATTCATTGCCATCTCCATTCACCATTTTTTAAAAATCCTAAATATATATGCAAAGTTAAAGCCTATTAGTTTTCAACACATGGAAAAGTAAAAAAAAAAATGTTCACATAAACCTTTTCAAAGATATTATTTATACTTTAGATAAGAGAGAGTGTGGGTATGCGATGTACTTTTTTAACCAATTATGGCAATTATAAAACTGAGTAACTATTTTATAACTAGCATAGTAAAGTTAGTAGAACAATGTGGAACTTGCAGCCACAAAACAAGGTTTCAGATCTGTAAGCCTAAGAAACTTCATATTTCTGCACCATTTCCTAATATATAAAATGTGAATTATAATACTGTCTTCTTAGAGATTTAAACAGAACTTTTATGAATTACCAACTTGTGTAAATTGTGCATTAAATAATGGCCACTGTACATCCAACTATCCCCTCTCTACAATTAGGCTACCTAGTAGGAATCTCATCTTGGCCACACCTGAACTGATTTCTTCCCAGCACCTTCTTCTCCAACTTTCATCTCAGTAAACAATAAATGACAACTTAGCCCTTCCAGTTGTCAGCCCAAAAATTCTGAGGTCATTCTTAACACATCTTAGACCCTCACGCACCAAATCACATGACCAATCAATCCTGATCCAGAATCTGACCATTTATCACCTCCACCATTACCACCTGATCCAGGCTACCATCATTTCCACCCTGAATTACTCCAATGATCTGTTAACTAGTCCCTGATTCCATCACTGCCCCCAGAGAGAGTTTTGTAAGTCAGATCACGTCGCTTCTCTGGTCAAACCTCCCCAATAACTTCACAGCCCACTCGGAGGAAAAGGCAGTCCCTGCAGTGACGTACAGATCTGTCCCCAATGCCCCCTTTGTCCAGATTCACTCAGGGTTGGCTCCTGACCTCGTTCAAGCCTCTGTTTGAATATCACCTTCTCAATGAGCCCTATTTTAACCTGAAAGCCACTGCCTTGCCCCAGTTCTCACCACCCCTTTTACAGGTGTATTATCTCCATCATCCAACATAGTCATTTGTGTATGGCCTATCTCCCACATCTAGAACATAAGCTTCTGACTGCCAGGCTTTTTGTCTGTTTTGTTCACTACCGTAGCCCCAGGTCCTAGCACACAGCAGGCATTTGCTCTAATGGCTGGATGATTGAATATCTCTTCCCCTTTCACCTAAGCTTTTTGCTGTTGATGCCCTCCCCTTCACACATATTATCCGCATCTCCTAAGAAGTAGCTTCAAGAAATTTTGAGGTGAGTCCTAAAGATTAGGGATTGGTAGAAATAGACACAAGGCAAAACCAAAATGGATCGCACAGAAATGCATTCTTACTATCATGTCACTAGGAGGTGTTCCTGCCATGGTCTACCCCAGCATCTCTGTGGCCATGATTTAGACTGTGTACCCAGACTCCTTGATTCAGCCTGGTGGGACCACTGCCAGTCATTGTGCTAGAAGACGTTCTACAGCATGTCATTCTCCAGCAGAAGAAACAAACTCAGAATCCTCAAGCATCTTGCTGAAGGCCAGAGAGCTAGGAACTGGCAACTCTAACCCTTGTGAGCATGATGCCAAATCTAAGCGCTGAATTCTTCCTCACAGGCTCTGCATTTCCACTCACCACTGAGTAAGGCATGGCTTAAGTCGATCCTAAGCCTTCCCCAGGCGGCATGGGGGCTCTGGCAGTGTCACTCTGGCCTATGTTTATGAGGTACGGTAATTCCCAGAAGGCCTATCAAACATCAGGGTGGCCAATTATTTGTTTGTTTGTTTGTTTGTTTATTTAATCCTCTCCAGAGGATATTTTTTCCCATTGATGTTTAGGGAGAGTGGAAGAGAGAGTGAAAGACAGAGGAAACAATCAATGTGAGAAAAACAAATTGATTGGTTGCCTCCTGCACAAGCCCTGACCAGGGCCCAGGCCCATGCGGAGACTACAACCAAGGTCCATGCCCTTGACCGGAATCAAACCCAGGACCCTTGGGTCCGCAGACCGACGCTCTATCCACTGAGCCAAACTGGCCAGGGCTCAGGTGACTGGTTTTTATTTTGTTTTGTTTTGCTTTAAACTTTTGTATCGCACGCACAAACATTATTTTACGAATCTTTTCAACCAACAGGCAATTGTGGATCTTAACAGTTCTTGGCTGAAAGAAGAAGAGAAGAAACCATAAGGCAGAAGCAGAAGCAGCAATTGGTCTCTAAAATCGGTCTCCTATATCTCCTTGTTTTACTGTTTCCAAAACAAGCATAACTCCACACTAACAACCTGGATTTGGAAAACGTTTTCAAAAGATTCTATGTGGCCAGGATGCATCACTCACAGGTTTATTTAGAAACATAAAGTACTTTGCGAAAAAAGATTAAAAGAAACGGTAAGGGCCACAGTATACATTCCGGTTCACATGTGTCTGCTGCTTTAAGTTCCAAGAGATGCAATTTTGCACCCTCTTAAAAAGGCATTAGAGTCCTGGGTTTGTACGTATGCAAACGTTATGCAAAAGAGGACATGAGAAGCTCTCCAACTTCTTATCTTCCTACTGCGTTACTTAGTCTTGACTCCCGCAGCAACATGTGCCCCAACTATTTTGCATTTAATTTTCAAAAAAATCCTCAAGTCTTATCAGGATTTGGGTTTTCTCTTGTGCTGACTTCAACATCTGGGACTGTCCACTGTTAAGAAACCAGCAGACTAAGAGACTGTATCACTGCTAAATGCCCACTGACTTCTACACGTCTTTCTGAAACATAGTACAGTAAGAGTTAGATACTTACCCATAAGTACTCTCCTCCACAGTCACACCTCTGGACAAACATAGTGAGATCCATACTCTCTGGGTAAATAAGTGTGCATCCTCATGGATCTTGGAAGACACTGAAAAGTAAATTCCTCTATTGCTTAAGTGCATGCCTTAGTGCCAGTTACCCTTCCTCCTAATGCTACTGTATGGCTGGCATTCCAACTTGAATCCTCAAAAATGAAATGAGACGATTTATAAATGAGTTAATGATACATTTCCAAATGTCAAAAGCTATTCTGATTCAAGGAAGGGAAGTATACTAGCCACTTCTGTGTTGAATTGCTTCTCTAGCAGTATGAATGGTGGAAGCAAGTATTTTATAAGGTAATGTAATGCAGTCCTTGCAGAGAGGAAAATGCTCTGTCTCCAATAAACCCGCATTATATGCATCAAGAAGAGATTTCTCTTTATAATACACAACACACAGAAGCAATAAATAAATCATTGGCTTATTTCAAAAAGAGCAAGTATTTTAGATGCACACATTTGGAAGCTAAATTAACTGGTAAGCACATGGTGCTGGTTAAAAGTAAAGGAGAGGAGCCCTAAAATTATAAAGAATCTTTGTATATGAAATAACATCACTGATTATTTTGAAATTAAATAACAGGGATTTAAATATTAAAATATTGAAGATCAAGGACATAGAAAATATTTGAGGATCATAAATGTGGGAATTTTTAGTAGCAATAACAGTGAACAGCACTTTTCATTATAAAATGATAATATTAATGAAAGACTTTAAAACTGAGTTAAATATGAATAATTGGATCATGCCAACTCTAAGACACCTTTAACAGTTAACTACGATAGCTCATTCTTTTCCTTGTCACTAACTGCCACGTTCCCCACCAAAAAAAGTGGGGGGGGGGGGGGACTAGTCAACATTAATGAAAATCAAACTCAGAGAGAAAATAAAGTGGAGACAGTAAACAGGAATAAAGGGGCTATGTTTTACTCTTCTATAAATCTGTATTTCAGTGACTCGCAAGGTTCATGAGGAGGTACAAATAGGAATATTCCGAAGATCTCTTTCCATTAAAAAAATACCAATACCAGTAACAACTATCAGATGACTATGTAAATGTGTAATGAAGTATCCACCGTGCAAAATCATGACTATGCCAAACAAACACATTTCAAGACAATGACTTTGAAACTGAACTTCTAGCTAGACTACTCTGTCAAGTCATTTTTACATATAATAAAGTAGAATCATGTAATTTCATAATTTTAGCTTAAAATGTAAACAGTAATTTAAAATGCTGCAAATAAAAGATGTGCATATCAAAGAAATGTCTATTTACTGGATATAATAGCCATAAGTAACCATTTCAAATGATCCACTGTAGCTATATTTAATTAGTTAAAATTGTTTTAGAAAAA